GTACTATTGAAAATTTCAACACCAAAATTATTTGAACTAATCACTCAATATATAAAAATGGAATTTTCAATTTAGGTAGCTATTTGTAAATCAAAAGTGGGTAGTGGTTTCACCCCCAAATATACATTGAATTTTATTTTGAATATATTTTTGAATAAAAATTTACAAATTACATTTTTATAGATAATAACATTATTGATGCATAAGCATATTGATTGATTGAAGCATTATTAATATATATTATTCTGGTATAAAAATATTATACCAGAATAAACCTTCATAAATCAAATATGTATGTATTATTTTTTTGAAAATAGTTAATATCATTACATTCTCATTTAACAATTGTTTTGTTTCTTTTAAGACTAAACTACCAAATTAATGTTATATATGTTAATAATATTTATTTTTTCAATTTTCCACACTTGATATATTATTGAAACTGTGGGTGGTTAGGTTTAGATTATGACTGTACTGTTATTAAAACTCCAATAATTCATTATACTCATACAAAACTCGTGTTTCGCTCTCCTGTATTATGTCTAGCCATGTAAAACTGTACTATTACAATACAAAAGAAAAATATTATTATACATAATATTTGACTCCTTTATGATGTACATCTAATATCATGTATCCTAAGCTAATCTTATTTTTGCAATTATTTTCCACTTGTTTCACTGCTTGACACATAAATGAATTGAACTTTTTAAAGACAAAATCATTTCTTAGCAATTCAGCTCTATATTTGTCATTTTGAATACTACTTGTGATTGTAGTAGATTATTTTCTGTTTAACCAAATCCACAAGTATTCCACCATTTTTCCTAATTAAATAGACTACATATAAGACTTGAGTACTCTTCAAAGTTCTCATGAAGAACTTAAAACATTCAATGACTTAATTGAGTTTTATTGTACAATATTCTTTAAGTTTTTTTAGAATGGACATATTTACTCTTTGCTTATATTTTTTGAATTATCTGTACAGCTTCTACCCACCGACACCCAGTAAATTTAATAGTCATACCAATTGATTTTTTGTCAGTTTACTCATTGTGTTATTTTTACAAATACAATATAATAAAAACTATTAGAGTTTTTAGTATGATTAAAAAATTAAAAAATATTTAATTTATAAATGTGTATAGGTGTACTTGTAGTATGCATTGAAAGAGCTACAAGACTAGTGAAGTCTCAGCAATCCAGCGGCAAGGATTGTATAGCTGTGTTTAAACTACATAACCCAGTTGAAACCGTTCTTAAGGTTAATATTTATCATTTATATTATTGTTAAAAACATAAATTTACCTGATTTGTTAATTTAGATTAAAAAAAGTTTAGAGTCATTGCGTGGTGCTCTGTTTCAACGTCCTCCATTGATAGCAGCTGTAAAACGGCAACTACGTATTCATACTATGTTCGAAAACAAATTATTAGATCATGATCAAGATACCTCTACAGGTATCATTTGGTTAAAGTGTGAGGCTGGTACTTATGTAAGAACACTTTGTGTTCATTTAGGTTTAATGTTGGGTACAGGAGGTCAAATGATTGAACTCAGAAGGAACCGTTCTGGTAAGTTTTTTTAACAATTAAAAATAGTATGTATATTTTAATTTATGCTACATTATGTATTATAAGGAATTACTAGTGAAGAAGAAGGACTCGCCACATTGCATGATGTATTAGATGCACAGTGGATGTTTGAAAATAATAAAGATAAATCCTATCTCAGGCGAGTGGTTAGACCTCTGGAAAGCATACTTACTAATTATATAAACGGATTTTTGTCAAGGACAGTGCAGTAAGTTAATTCAGTATGAGAAGTAACAAACTATTGAAAATCTTGATCTAAAATACTAGTATTTAGTTTCATGAGCTGAAAAAAAAATTAATTTTAAACTTTTGTGATTTAATAGTTAATTCATAATGTATGTTTAAATAAATTTTAGATTAATGCAATTTGTTATCGAGCAAAAATTATGCTTCCTGGATTACTATGATGATGGCATTGAGTTAAATATGGAAGTTGTCATAGTTTCAACTAAAGGAGAAGCTGTAGCTTTAGGTAATTTCCAAACATTATTACATTGTTTTATGGTGTAGATGTAAAGTGAGATGTTTGTAATGCAATTTTATAATTTTAGTGTTTCATCAGTAATTTAAATTGTAAGTTATTTCTTAATAAAATACAGGGTGCGGCAAAAAGAACTCTCTGATTAAGGAAGCTTATAAAAACCAAACCAAGTCAAATATCAAAATAAAAGTTTTATTTATAAATTGTACATAAAATGCCATTTTATATTAATTATTTTTATAAATTATGTCGCTTAAGTGGCGGCCCTCATTTTCGATATACTGATTGAGCTTTTCTCGGTAATTTTCTATGACTCTATGGGTCATTGCGGGGGGGGGGGATAGCAGCAATTTCCCGGGGTATTACCTCCTTCAGAGCTTCCAAAGTTTGTGGACGATGTTGGTACACTTGGGCTTTTAGAAAACCCCAGAGAAAAAAATCGCATGGGTTCAAATCTAGTGATTGATGGTGTTACTTGATGAAGTGTTACTTTGCAAGGAGAAGATATGCCCAGGAAACATTTCTCTCAGAATGCCAAGTAAAGCTGTATGTGCTGTTGCAACATCTTATTGAAACCACACATTTCGTTGTCCATACTCATGAAAAATATTGTTCAATTTTAGCCGAAGAAAATGTTCAAGCATCTCACAATAGCGATTAGAGGTCACTGTTACAGTAACACTTTCTTCTTCAAAGAAGTACAGACCCCACACACCAAATGCGAAAATGGCGCACCAAACTGTAACCTTTGGACTGTGGAGTGGTCGCTGGTGAAGTTCTTGAGGATTGTGTTCAGACCAGTATCTAAAGTTTTGTTTTTTACCGTACTTGAAAGGTGAAAATGTGCTTCGTCCATGAAAATCAAAACATCTGTACAGGAACATTCCGAAGAAGATTATTAATAAATTCCTCGATAACAAATGTACAATGCTCTCCCGACCAAGCCATGATGAATACTAAAAATAGCTTCGATAGGACTTTCTGTTGATGTAAATATCTCTAATGTACCTCCACCCAAAGCCAAACTAAAACCTTATCAAATTACTGAGTTCTTTCTGCCACACCTTGTATTGTGTGTATTTTAGATTCTGACGGAAGAAAGGAATGTATTATTTTAATCATATTTTTTATATATATATATATATATATATAAATATTATACACAATTTCTATTAGGAATCTTACTCTGATTTATTTGGTGTAGCATCTTTTTAAAAGAGTATTTTACCTAGTTGATATTTTCTGAAGGCCATTTATTTTAATTTTTTTGGGAAATACTGGAAAATTAACAAATTTAATGATATCAATATTTTTATTTATTTAATTATATTTTCAATGTTTTTTTGTTCAAAATTTGGACAGTAAACCTATAATTGTTTTTTCTAGAAGTGGTAAAATTTTCAAACCAGCAATTTATAGGCATTTTAATTTTGTGAATTTTTTACCTAATATTTATTTAGTAGATACTAGTAGTAGGAAATGCTTGATTATGTAACAAAAGGTACAATTTAAGTTTTACCTAGTGATCAATAGGAAAAATGTTAATCTAATGTGGTATATTTTCTTCATATTTTGATGAAAATCATACATACTATGGCATTTTAAAACATTCCATGAATTCATGTGGTTTATTATGTTTTGGACTTACTTTATTATAGTTATATAATTGATTAAATAATATTAATTAATGGCTTTTTGATTTTAATTTAGCCATTGGCTACAGCTGCTATTTCTAATTGTGATCATGGAATCATTGTTAAAATTAAAAGAGTATTAATGGATCGAGATACCTATCTTCGTAAATGGGGACTAGGACCAATGGTAAGTAAAATATTGTTGACCTTAAGCTGCAAATTTGTACGCATGCATGATATATTAACAATAAATGTATTAATTGTTTCTACAAATAAAACATACATTTTGTAAATGCTTATTAGGTATTTATCTTATATGGTAGACAATTAATGAAGATTATAAAAACTGTAATTTTAGGCTAGTACCAAAAAGACCATTATTAAAGGAGGTTTATTGGACAAATTTGGAAAACCTAATGAAAATACTCCAAAAAACTGGAGACAGACATTCTTCAAAGATGTGTAAGATACACATTTTACACAAAAATGGTTTAACCAGTGTATTTATATAGATATTAAATAAATAAATACATTTTTTTTCTGTTGCAGATTCGAAAAATAAGTAATGAGAATGATGATAAAAAGGTATTAAAATATTTAAGAATAAAATGAAAATAATAGTAATGAACTATTGAATCATTACATGAGTAATTACATTCTTGATCAGTAGTTTTCAACCTTTTACAAATCGCGACCTCCAAAATTTTCAATTTTAAATTCAAAGTGCAAATAGTACTATTTTAAATTGTGCTATACTACATCTGATATTATAGTACAAGGTTTCAGACAACCAATTTAAATTATTGATAAGCTATTGATACTGATTTTTAAAAACTATTGAAAACTATCAATAATGGATTATTGATAGTTTTCAGTCAGTGGTATCTGGATTTTAATTTTTACAACCTGATATTTTGGTAAGCATCATCAACTACAATCATCCAACCAAAAACTAATTTAGGGTTTTATTGCTTAGGCTCTCAATAAATGTTAATACTTATGGATTATATTAATATACATTATTATACATTATTTGTTTGATAAAAAACCAGTTTTAATTATTCGTAAAATCGCCCACTACCAAATTTAAAGTTACTTGTATCATTTAGAAAGATTGTATAATATTGTAAATAATAAATTGTTCTATCAATTAATTAATTATAGGAAAAGACATAGTACGCCACCAGAAGAAACATTGTTGAATGTAAAGAAAGATAAAAAATTTATGTTTTTTAACTTTATTTTTGTGCGTACGTTCCTTGTTTTATTATCATACAAATCCTAACCCTGCTGATAATAATTATTCCTTGTACAGTATAATTAACTGGATTCCTCTATAATTTTATATATTTACGTTTGATATTTATCTGTTTATTATTGCCATTTATGGTTCCGAGGAAAGTATTTACACTTAAAAAAACAATATTTCAAATTTTAGAGATTTTTTCTGCACCGGTGTCCCTACTCATCTAGCTACGCCACTGACTGTTCGTCAATCACTAGTTTAAATTGTTTATGCCTATTACAGATAAAAAAAATATTAATATTTATAATACCCAAGTAATGTCGGGTTTTTATATACAAAAATATATTTTTACCAAATATATTTATCTACCGTTTTATTGGAGTAAGAAATGGTTACATTCCATAACCTATGTAATCTATCCAATTCGTGTTTTTTCGTACATATTTCTGAATTTTTTAGCTTGTGGTTCATATTGAAACGTATTTTTATATATTCATGCTATATTAGATTACATAAGAGAATATGTACCGATGCAGTGGCCAGTGATATGTTGTTCTTACAAATTCATTATTATTATTTTTTTTTCATAATTAACCGTACATTTTTCTATGTTAATGTCGAGAATATTTTGGGTAGGTATATAAAAAAATATTCGGATTATTTCTTTAGTTTTTGCTGTGTAAAAACACAATATTTCATATATGTTTTACCAGAATATTATTCGGAAAAATAACACGGCTGTAGAAATAGTNTAATTAACCGTACATTTTTCTATGTTAATGTCGAGAATATTTTGGGTAGGTATATAAAAAAATATTCGGATTATTTCTTTAGTTTTTGCTGTGTATAAACAAAATATTTCATATATGTTTTACCAGAGTATTATTCGGAAAAATAACACGGCTGTAGAAATAGTCGTCCTGTGGTAGTACCGAGGGGGATTTCAGCTTTAAACATACGCCATACGCGAGGGGAGAAGGATATCAATAGGCATCAACCAGCCGTCTCCACGGCGACCGCACCCTCGTTCGCATTGTGTGACCGGCTCGGATATACTCGTTGTTCGTCGTCCCCTCTTCGGATCGGAAATCNGCTTTAGACATACGCCATACGCGAGGGGAGAAGGATATCAATAGGCATGAACCAGCCGTCCCCACGGCAACCGCACCCTCGTTCGCATTGTGTGACCGGCTCGGATATACTCGTTGTTCGTCGTCCCCTCTTCGGGTAGGAAATCATTAGTCATGCGACGCGTAAAATTCCAGTCTTTCCCCCTCGATAGGTAGTCATCAATGCTCAGTATACCGCCAGAACGCCAACACGTCAGTATTTCCGCGCTGTCGGACGGTTCTCTTCTTTGTTCTTTGTCTCGCACAACCACACCCGTCTGGNCGACCGCACCCTCGTTCGCATTGTGTGACCGGCTCGGATATACTCGTTGTTCGTCGTCCCCTCTTCGGGTCGGAAATCAGTAGTCATGCGACGCGTAAAATTCCAGTCTTTCCCCCTCGGTAGGTAGTCGTCGATGCTCAGTTTACCGCCAGAACGCCACCACGTTAGTACTTCCGCGCTGTCGGACGGTTCTCTTCTTTGTTCTTTGTCTCGCGCAAGCAACCACACCCGTCTGGCCGTCGAGACGGCCGCCGTTGTTCGGCGTCGCCGACGCAATCACAAATGATGGAGCATAAATTAATGGGTTCGTCTTGTATTGTTTTCATTTGAAATAATAATATTTTTTTTAAACGTTAACATTATTATAGAGCTGGAATGCGAGCGACTCTGACAGTCCAAACTCACTATTTATTTTCATTCCATTGCGAACATTCAACTATGGGTGACAACATGGTTTCAAAAGTATATTGGGTTCCCAATTCAAATATATTTCAAACAATATTATTGCTGATGTGGTTTTCATTTGATCGTCGATGTTGAAGAAATTACTGTCCGGAGGGCATTTTTACTTTTTCGGTAAGTATTATTATTATTAAGTGTTTAACTTTCAGCGGTGGATCCAGGAGATTTTACGACCCCTCCCCCCTACCCTTCACAATATAATTTTTATTTGATTTTCATCAGAAATGTATGCTTGTGTGTATTTTAAAAAAACTCCCCTTTCCCCTTTATTTTGTCCTTGATCTGCTACCTATACGCTAGTGATGGCCGTCG